CTTTTGAAGAAATATCATTCTATAACTAATAATTAAAACCAAGATTAGAATTAAATTTACACACTTTTAATGTCAAAATTATCCCAAGGATCTTTTTAGGAAAATCTGCTATATAAGAAAGCTCTTATCTTATATTTGTTTGTTCCTTATAAAGGGGTTGTACTGTATCACACAGAGTTATTATTCACAAATTATTCATTTATTGTTTAATAAATAAATTGCTAAAATGTGTGTTACAAAGGGTGGCTATTGTTCAGATTGTTGGCTGACGTCTGTGCGGAATACACGCCCCCGGAATCGGTGCTCAGGTCAGTACCAATGGCTGCATTCCGGACGTCGACAACACGACTGGCCCTCGCGATCGACGACTATTTGATATTTATGACCAAAATGGCCGCCAATGATATCACATCTGGTGTCATGTCTTACGCCTCGACCGAGAAGTGCAGTCTTCAGACGGCACTCAACGCACAGTTTCAACTCATTAAGGACTTGGAGGCCGAGTGTCAGTCACTCTCCACCACTATAGCCACCGAATCGGGTCCAGAGTTTCAGACACCGGCACTCATGGCATACATGAATACACTGTTGGATATGTCTTATGGCGAGTATTCAGGCATTGAAGTGATTTACGCGTACGAAGTGAGGGATGGAGTGATTTGGTGTCCAAAATGGGATCAACTGAAACGACAACTCTTGGATGACAATAAGGATTTGTCTGTCAATTGTTTTAATATTTAAATTTAATTATTTATTAATTTTAACAAACACTAAATCATTGTGTGTTTTATAATTGCTTTAATTAATTTAATTAACAAAAATATATCAATAATTTATTAATATGATAATGTTTATTTTATTTATATTATGTTCAATTTTGGTTTATATGGTTAAAGACTGAACATTAATTAAAAAATAATAATTTTACATTTTGCATTACATATGTCGAGAATACTAACTTAAGTTTCCCTTGGATATAGTATACATGAAGTATAGTGTACTGTATACCTTATAGGCCCGATACCCTGTTTAGAGTAATTACGGTCAATTACATATGTTGTTTAATTAAATCTAATGTTATTTATTCTTAAGGTTTTTATGTAACGTGCAGTATATCTACACAGTTTAGTGTTTGTGATAGAAGTTTCCTACTATTTGAATAAATGATAATAAATTATTATTTATTATATTTTCTAAAGTATGAAAGTAATAATTTTGTGACAGGTTTTAATATAAATCAAAGTTTTGAAGTGATTATTTTAAACGTAATTAATTTTTAAAGCAATAAATTTTACATAAAAAATATTTCTAATTATAGAAAGGAATAATTAATTAATTTTATCCATAATAACATATTTATTACTGTGAATCCATAGCTGCGACAGCTCTTACATGATAATCAAGTGTTGTGTTTATAGTCTAGACTGTAATAATACATTTGAATCCGATGTATAATTGTTCGGGGTAGAAATGATATTTTTAATGTAAACTTTATATTGCAGTGTAAAATCATTTATGTGCTTTCATTAAAAAGCAAACACAATTCTCTGGGAAGGCATTGCAATTGTACTTTAATATATTGTTTTTTCCACCAAATTTTACTTTTTTCTAGTCTTAATAATTAGTTATAATTTGAATTAATTGTAATAAAATTCATTAAAAAATTACTAAAATACTGTTTGGACGCCACCGACAGTCACTGGGGGGCAGACGCGGGCCAACTCTTCTAATAATAATCGCACCGAAGGGTAAAAAAAGTGAGACTTAAGTTAAAATAGTTAACTGTTTTTTATTCAAACAAAGGCTTTATAGTAGTCTAAAGTCTATAGTCTAAAGTAACTCTAGTTAATAAATACAATGTACTCCAAATCTTATTTACTCAACAACCTAGGTAAAGCGCAATAAAATATAAGTGATTCCTTCGTATGGAAACGTACAGTGATATTTTATGCAAAGTTACGCAAGGTAATAACTAGGTAACATCATAGGTAATGAGTGATCATTACTGATAATAATTAATTGTTAATAACTATACTGATGATAACTAGTTAAATTATCTACAATATATTGATATATTCTAAATTATATTCCTAAACTCTTAGAAGTGAACCGTTAATTAATATCGAAGTATTATTTGTAATAAATTATAAATTAAAAGCAATGACAACACTATCGCTGCTGAAGAATAGGTCAGAGTTCGGGTCACTGAAGATCAGACCACTGTTTGACCGAAAAGTGAATCCCAATCCACACCACAAATGGGTGTCACAAGAGTTGATCCAATGGTCCAAAGGGTTCGCCGATCACAACAACTGGTTCGACGAAATGACTGTTTTGTTTGGGGGCTATTTGTATAGCGGTTGCCAACAGAGGGACCGGTTGTTAGCATTGATTAAATTTTCCAGTTTTACCATTTATTTGGATCATCACGAAGAGAGTGCTCGTAGGGAACGGTCGGCACCTCTTATGGTAGATATGATTGACAAACTGTTGACCACTGTATTGACCGGACGTACGGATCAGCAGTTTGTTTTAGGTATGTATTAAGTTGTGTTGAAACGTGATTAACTGTTAAATAGATAGAAACATGTTTGAAAATAAAAACATTAATAATAATAAAATTGGATTAAATTAAATAATTATAATTTTATAATAATTATAATTATAATAGGAGATATTTTTATAGCTTTTAATTAATCAAAATTGATTTAAAAAGTTATTACTTGCCCTATAAATGTGGTAACAAATAATAGGCCTCACTAACAATAGAAGCAACCTTCGCAACCTACACAAATACTGGTCTCTAGTCTACTGTCTGTACTCTCTGTTAAACTTCTATACCAAACTTCCGGTAGCTCTGTACGTAACGCTAATAATAGAAGTCTTGCGGTTCTTACCATTGGATCAGTACTACGAACTCAGGAGTAAAGAATCGGGTATTGATTTGTATTTATTTAATTTACGGTTATATAAATTTATAAATATGACTAGCAACAAGTTGCTACTTTGTTGCAACTAAATACACATTAAACATCATACATAATTCATTTATCAGTAAATTTGTTAACGTTAGCTTTTGGCATATGGTTTTGTTATCACCGCTGAGTTATACTGTATTAGTACTCAATTTTAACAGAATGCGATTTTAACACACATTTTTTACAATCCCGATGACCTGTCAAAACCGAGTGCAGATTGTATTAAAAATATAATTGTTTAGCTCTAGTAAAAAATAATTATAATATTAATAATACAGTATTTTATCAACTGGGTGAACAAGCAGTTGTGTGAACTTAGCATTTGTATGAACCAAACCCTAAAACCAAAACCCGCAGTCCATAGACACAATGTTAAAATAGTATCAACTGTGTGAACATATCATTTGTGTGAACAAAATTGAGTAATATTATACTATATTCAATACAATCAGTTGTGTGAACCACATATTATGTGACAAAACCCACATATATATGACAGAATTAATGTTTGTTTTGTACACAAAACCAAAAAACCATAGCATAAAGTTAAATTACAGTATAAAGAGCTCACTGGTGCTTACAAAAACCAAGCAATGTCACCTATATTTAGGAAACAACAACATATTCTCACTTTTAACATGTAATCAGTTGTATGAATATATCATTTGTGTAAACCAAATGCAAAAACCCAATCGGTTCACCCAGTTGATAAAATACTGTACATAAATATAAGTTACTGTAGTTTATATTATAATATTTATTAAAAAGAATCAAGTTTAGTTTTGGGTTTATAGATATTTAAGTAAATTATTCTTAATTGTTATAAAAGGGTGGCTATTGTTCACATTGCTTGTGGAAATTTGTGCGGATTACTCGCCCCCAGAATCGGTGCTCAAATCCGTACCAATGGATACATTCCGGGTGTCGGCCACACGACTGGCTCTGGCGGTCGATGATTACATAACATTTAAAACAAAAATAGCCGCCAATGACGTCACCAATGGTCTCATGGCCTACGCCTACATCGAGAAGTGCAGTCTTCAGACGGCAATCGACACACAGTATCAGCTCATTAAGGACTTGGAGGCCGAGTGTCAGTCCCTCTCTTCGACTATAGCCACCAAATTGGACGCCGAGTTTCAGACACCGGCGCTCGTGTTGTATATGAATTCACTGATTGGTATGTCTTATGGCATGTATGCCGGGGTTGCCATCCTATACGCGTACGAAGAGAGGGATGGACTGCTTTGCTGTCCAAAGTGGGATCAATTGAGTCAACAACTCTTGGATGAAAGCCATGTTTTTTCTGCCAATTGTTTTGATAAGTAATATTGCAATACAATATTGATTGCAATGCATATGATTGGAGATAATTAATGTTGCATGATAATAATATGATATTTTGTTGATATTTAATAACAATTTTTTGTTCAACTTTTAAGAAAAACTATATGTTTGGCTGTTATAAAATTTTCTTAATATATTTGATCAAAATTTAAGTTTTTATTTTATATTTTATTAAAATTAATTATTATAATTACTTTTGAAACCCACTTTTGAAATAAATTGTTGCTAATAAATTGGATTAAATGAATGCTATGAGTCTAAGGTTTACACAATGGATATGTGGTTGCAATGAAACTGTGCACACATTTTGTTAAATAACCAATTGTACCAAAAGTGACCCAATTTGGCACCTAATTAAGTCACCAGGCACATTTATCGTTACCAAAATACTGATATTGATATTACTAATATAATATTAGTACAAGTAATATTACTCTATGATAGAGTCTCTATCGCGATAGGATTATTACATTAATTAATTTTAATATACCTAATGTTTGTGTTTATATTTATTTCACGGGTTCAATAATGTAATTTAACATGAGAAATTTAAACTACTTTGAAATAATATTAGTATACAGTATTATATTATTAATATATGTATAAATTATACAGTATAGATTATACAGTATAATCATAATGTTACAAAATGCGGTTTTCACAGGTTGTCATTAGTTAGTTAAGAGTGGTTTGCCGTGACACCCACATTGACCTAGGGTTAAACTCAGATTTATATTAATAATTATTTAGTAAAAAGTAAATAAAAGTGAATCTTTATTATTAAAAAATTACATCAATAAATTTAAATAAGCGTAACAATAAATTATAATTCATAATCGTAATTAGTGAAAAGTGAAAGGAATTACTAAAATAATTGATCAATACTGCATTTTATTACAGTAACTACATTTTATATTATAGTATCTACTAATTATTGAATTAATAAGAAACATACAAAATGTATGACAAAATTAACAACGAAGCATTTCTGGGTTAATAAATTTGTGATAACGATCGAGAAAAGTGTGCACGTACCAATTGCCGCTAACAAGAGTTTGGCAACGTTTCACAAACTCTCCGGTGTGAGCACTGGCCCACTCGGCACCGGCGATCTCATTGGCCAACTCTGCCATACGTTCCTCCGTTTGCCTCATCATTGCGGCCACTCGTAGGAGAGCCGCGTCCAGTGGTATGCCCTCCACGCGGGACACAATAGCTATGCCATTGAACACCCGCTCCACTCGACCCCCGGCGTCCATTAGCTCCTTGTCTATTGAGTAGAGATCGTTGACACACACCGTAGCCCTCGCCCCGAGTGTTAAGTAGAGCTGAAACCGTGGGTTCTGCCACTCGGGTTCCGGTACGTACAGTTCGTACGCGTATTCAATCATATGCATAGTACATTTGGCCGCCACTACATTCTCTCTAATCTATAAAACAAACTTCAATTATTACAAAAAACATTTACCTTAAGAATTGTTCAGTTTTTAACAAATAAGATCAGAGTCTAAATTATTGTAGGATTACATTACAGCTAAATTGAACATGTTTAATTGACCCCCTCGTTTGTATATTTTATGTAAAGTATTTATATATGAAGTGTGTAATTATTTACATAATTTACATTAAATATACATTTCAATACATTTGGTCTATTGTAATAAAATCAATTGAAATAGAACACATTAAAAAAGTTTTTATAAATTACTATTATGATACAGTCTACAGTAATATGAGAGCACTAACCTTGTAAAATTCTTCAGCACTTTTATATTGTTTAGCATCGGTTATATTACGGCATTGATCTATCATACTATCCGTCCACTCTCTCCACAGGTGAACGTATCGGCGCTTTTGGACGTCATTGTAGTCGACAAGTATATCCTCGTAGAGGGCGTACGCGGACAACATGTATGGCTTCCAGTCGCGGGCCGATACAAATCGGTCACCGAGTAGTTTGTCACAGACTTCATGCAATTGGCCGATAATATTGTCCGCTTCGGCAGTCTTGAGGCCGACATCGCCTTCATTGGTCTCGCAGTGGTCATCGATGATGAAGAACATGATCATCTGTCGGTACAGGTTGTCGAACCGGTGCGGGTCCGGGCAATCGGGGTAGAAATAGGAGGCAAACGCGCCGGACGTTGCGACGCGTTTATGTTGTGTGGGTGTGAATAGACTGCATTCAAACGACCACTTCTGGGCCGCGCTGTACATCGGCTCCACTCCGTCTAATGGATGGCATTTATATGGAAATATTGACACCACATCTGACGGCACCGGGTATTTAGGTTTGGGCCATGATTTAGCAGTCATTATTAGTATTTAAACTGTTATAAATATAAATAAATATAATAACATAATTATTAGATAAATGTTAATTTAGTGTTAATTTTAATACTTTACAAAGCGGCTAAAGGTGTCAGTATGCCGGGGTTTATATGAAATATTTAATTACAATTTAACTAAAATGATGAAACATAAGGAAAATTTAATTAAAATCATAATTATTTCATAATTTTTAAATTGCAAAATGACGAGTAATTAACAACTTCTATAGTATAGACTCTAGTATTTTAATACTATTTTAATAAAATCAACGTTGGAAATTTTATGCACATTATTTAAAAAATGTCTTTCATTTTTTAAATAATTTATTTTTAAGTTTTAGAAAGTTATCAATTAAGCAATGTATGATGTACACGTATAAACACTTATTATCAACCGGGTAGATAATTCACAAAACAAAATTTGCAATTTGTTATCCATATAAACTAAAAACAATAATCACTCAAATTTTCTATTTTTCAATAATAGTTTTTATAAATAAAGGCTGAATTTAAATGCTTTTATATATTTTAAAATTTTATATCATTTTATTACAATAACTAAAAATTAATTTATAATAAAATACTTATTCAAGCATTTCTGGGCGAATATACTTGTGATAACGATCGAGAAAAGTGTGCACGTACCAATTGCCGCTCACAACAGTTTTGCAACGTTGCACAAACTCACGGGTGTGAGCGCTGGCCCACTCGGCACCGGCGATCTCATCGGCCAACTCTACCATACGCTCCTCCGTTTGTCTCATCATTGCGACCACTCGTAGGAGAGCCGCGTCCAGTGGTATGCCCTCCACGCGGGACAGTATAGCTATGCCATTGAACACCCGCTCGACCTGACTCTCGCAGTCCATTAACTCCTTGTCGATGGAGTAGAGATCGTTGGCACACAGTATAGCCCGCGCCGCGAGTGTGAAGTAGCGCTGAAACAGTGGGTTCTGCCACTCGTCCTCCGGTACGTACAGTTCGTACGCGTATTCAATCATATGAAGCGAACACTTGGCCGCAACCACATTATCTCTAATCTATTTTAAAAACTAAATTATTAGTAAAAATTAAGTAAAAATTAAATTATTAATTGCTTTAAATAATTTACGTTAAGTTGTTGTTCAGTTTTTAACATATAAGATCAGAGTCTAAATTATTGTAGGATTACATTGCAACTAAATTGAGCATGTTCAATTGGCCCCCACGTTAGTATATTCAATGTAAAATATATAAAGTGTGTAATTATTGACCAAACAGAATTTGCATAAAATTGACAGTAAAATGTCGACACTTTGTCCATTTTAATAAAATAAATTGAAATAAAATACATTAAAAGTAAGCTTTTTATAAATTATAATTTTAATACAGTCTACAGTAAATGACCAAGAATAGTCGCCTGGGTGACAATTGTTAATGTTAATTTATGAGAGTTTATATATTTGTTATGTAGAAACTGATCAATTTTACAGTAATATTTGAACACTAACCTGGTAGAATTCGTCAACACTTTTATATTGTTTAGCATCGGTTATATTACGGCATTGATCTATCATACTATCCGTCCACTCTCTCCACAGGTGAACGTATCGGCGCTTTTGGACGTCATTGTAGTCGACAAGAATATCCTCGTAGAGGGCGTACGCGGACAACATGTATGGCTTCCAGTCGCGGGCCGACACGTATCGGTCACCCAGTAATTTGTTGCAAACTTCATGCATTTGGCCGATAATAGTCTCCGCTTCGGCAGTGTTGAGACCGACATCGCCTGCTGTGGTCTCGCAGTGGTCGTCAATGATGAAGAACATGATCATCTGTCGGTACAGGTTGTCGTACCGGTGCGGGTCCGGGCAATCGGGGTAAAAATAGGAGGCAAACGCACCGGACGTTCCAACGCGCTTGTATTGTGTGGGTGTGAATAGACTGCACTCAAACAACCATTTTTGGGTCGCGCTGTACATCGGCTCCACTCCGTCTAATGGATGACATTTGTAGGGAAATATTGACTTTACATCTGACGGCACCGGGTATTTAGGTTTGGGCCATGATTTACTAGTCATTTTAGTAAAACCACTATTGATTGTAAGATTATAATTTACACAATTAGTATATCTATATTAAATTTAATTTTAAATTACTATTAAAAATTTAAAAACAGTATTAATGTTAGTGTTTATAAAGCTATTAGTAGTGCTGTATTTATAATTTTATGTGTACTGTATATGTAAAGGGGTATATATACTGTATATATACTTTATATATTCAAGATCAAATAATAAACAAGTGTTATAATTAATAACTTATAAACATGTGAATTTTAAAAAAAAGTTTTAAAAACTTTATTAGATTATCACTGAAATGGAGAAACATAAAAATAGAACATTGCACTTTTATTTAAATGTTTCGTTTCATTCAGTTTCTCGTAAAACAGATGTTAGTGTTATTTCTGTGATAATGATTACATATTTACAAAAAGTTACATACATTTTAAGGATAGTTATTTAAATACTGACAATTGCGAGTATCCCGGATATAACGTAATCGAGGTCATAGCGTAATAATTTTTGTTGCACCGACGGCTCCGGCGGGCTTTCAATATCAGTCAATGACATAATCACTTATGGTATTCAGACGGCACTCGACGCACAGTTTTAGCTAATAAAGCATTTGGAGGCCGAGTGTCAGTCCCTCTCCACCATTATAGCCACCAAATCGGGTCCCGAGTTTCAGACACCGGCACTCATGTTGTATATAAATGTTTTAAATAATTATTTAAAATTAATTAAATGAGTTATTATGTAAAATAATATGTATTAAGGCTTGTATTGAGTGTATGGGAAATGGAGTGATTGAATGACCAAAAGTGATGCTCCGTTTAAATTCAGTTAATATTTTATTTGTTATTACAATTTAATTATCGATGGAATAAAAGTAATGTGTATAATTTGACTTACATTAAACAATTTACAATTTATAAATAATTTAATAATTAAAATGTAAAATTATTTTAGATAATAATTATTCGATATATCAATATTATTTATCATTATAATAATTAATTTAAATGTTTATTATTTATTATATTGCCAGTGTTCAAAAAATTTATTACTCAACAATTAATTAAGAATTAAAATTTTGTTATTGACAATAATTATTATATTATATAAAAGTAGAAAAATAGGCAAGAGTTTAGGCAATAAATATCTGTTTTATTATAAATGACTAGATATTACAACATATATTTTTAACTATAATTTATTTTATATAATGTGATTCTAACCTCATTGAATTGAACTACACATTGATTTTGCCATTATTAAGCAATAGGATTATTACCCACACCGATAATGTCTATTATAAATGACA